TTGTTACCTTCGATTAGAAATATTTATATTAATTTCTATTCCAAGCCAAGTTTGCTGTTTTATTATAATAATTTACACATCCAGATTACCTCAAATATGAATATGAAACTTTTTTTTTTTTTTTTGAGTAGAAGTCTCACTCTGTCACCCAGGATGGAGTGCAGTGTTGCAAGCTCATGACCATCGCAGCCTCAACCTGCCAGGCTCAGATGATCCTTCCGTTTCAGCCTTCCCGATAGCTGGAACTGTAGGCATGCACACCACGCCTGGCTAATTTTCTGATTTATTATAGAGATGAGATCTTGCCAAGTTGCCTAGGCAGGCCTCGAACCCCTGGGTTCAAGCAATCCTCTCGCCTCTGCCTCCTGAAGTGCTAGGATTATAGGCATAGCCACCACACCTGATGAGTTTTTAAGATTTTAAATATGCTTTTATTAGATTCTAAGATTTTTTTTTAAATGCCAAGTGTTTTATGTTAGATTTCTACATCTGTAGATAAAGAAGTTCAAAGTTCACAGAAGCAATTATTTTTATAAGAATACCATAAGAAAGCCTAATACATACATTTTTCTGTCTCCCAAAAGTACGAATCATATGGAGTATTTCCACTGGCTATCGTATTTGAAAATGCATCTGCATCTCAGTCCTACTAGAAACCTTGTATAAAGCACGAAGCTCTGATCATGTAATCACAGGGGAGTCGGCTTTATTTTACATGGAAAAGGTTGACCATACAACACCCACCCTATTTAGGAAATTGCTTTTTGTACTAGGAATATGTGATAAGTTTCATACAGCTAAAGCTCTGGTAAGGGATTTCTTACTCTTGGCAATAGTTTGCAGTGCTTTGTCTACAGAAAAATATTATTTTATGTTTTTGTAGAATAGGTGAAAATTCCGCAATATGTTAATTTCAAAGTGTTTAAGCTGTTTCAGAGAAAAGTCATGTAAACATTCTTGTTAGTTTTTAGTTGTGCTTTTTTTTGCACTTGAAAATTCAGGTTTAAAAAAAAAAATTTGCAGGTTTCATGGTCTTTATTTCCTAATACTTTTTTATTAGTGCCACCTGTAGCTCAGAAAAAAATAATCACATGGTATCAAATAATCATAGTATTTCCTATATAGAATCCTAACTTTATCTTTTTTTTTTTTTTTTTTTTTTGAGTTGGAGCGAGACTGGGCAACAGAGTGCAGTGGCTGCTCCCGGCCACCGCAGCCTCGACCCTCTGGGCTCTGGCGTTCCTTCCGCCTCAGCCTTCCAAGTAGCCAGAACCCGGCTAATTTTTTTGATTTATTGTAGAGATGAGGTCTCGCCAAGTTGCCCAGGCGGGTCTCGAACCCGCGGGCTCAGGCAATCCACTCACCTCAGCCTCCCAAAGGCGCGGGATTACAGGCTGAGCCACCGAGCCCAGTTCTGACTTTGTCTTAAAGACTATTTTTTGTTATCACATTCAGAATTTTGGAATGACAAGGTGATTTGGGGTTACTTTTTTTTTTTTGAGAGTCGGAGTCTCACTCTGTCACCCAGGCTGGAGGCAGTGGCATGCTCATGACCACTGCAACCTTGACCTGCTGGTCTCAGGTGATCCTTCCCCTTCAGCCTTCCAAGTAGCTGGAACTACAGGTGTGCACCAGCACGCCCAGCTAATTTTTTGATTTATTGTAGAGACGAGATCTCGCCAAGTTGCCCAGATTGGTCTTGAATTCCTGGGGTTAGTCAGTCTTCTTGCCTTCGCCTCCTAATGTGCTGGGATTATAAGCATGAACTAGTGTTCCCGGCAGAGTTATTTTTCAATCCATTTTTTTCGTAGAAAATATGGTTAGTATATGAAGGTAATCATTAAATTAATTCTTTTTCCCCCTAATTGAATAAATACTTATTAGATTTTTATCTATAATTCCATATTGAAGGGTAAATCAGTCATTGGTAATAGCAGGTACAACATGGTATGAATTGTAGATAAGACTACAATTGACTCAGAGAAATATACCCAACTTGTTGTTCTCATTCCCAACCTGCATTATCTTTTTGCTACAATTTCCATAGCTGTTCTTTTTTTTTTTTTTTTTTTTTGAGTTGGAGTCTCACTCTGTCGCCCAGATCGGAGTGCAGTGGCCACCGCAGTCTCGACCTGCTGGGCTTTGGCGATCCTTCCACCTCAGCCTTCCAAGTAGCCGGAACTACCATGCCTGGCCATGTTTTGATTTATTGTAGAAACAAGGTCTCACCAAGTTGCCCAGGTGGGTCTCAAACCCGTGGGCTCAGGCAATCTTCTCACCTCAGCCTCCCAAAGTGCTGGGATTACAGGCTGAGCCACCAAGCCTGGCCTTTTTTTTTTTTTTTTTTAAACCAATCTCAAAACATTTCATTTAATGTGATAGTTCCGTATTATATAATTTAGAGTTCTTCTCTTCATAATTTCTTTCATGTTTACTTTTCCAGTGTATTCCCTGGGCTGTTTCTTTCTGGTATTGCTTCTCTTCAGCCTGAAAAACAGTCATTAGCCTGCTGGTCACAGACCTTTGGCTTTTGTTGACCTGAAAATATTTTCATTTCACCTTTGTATTTATGTGAAGGATATCTTTGTTGGATATAGAATTCTAACTTGATAGGTTTTTATTTCCCTCATTCAGCATTTAAAGATGTCATTGCATTGTCTTCTGGTCTTCATTGACTTCAGATTTTCAGCCATTTGATTCTGATGTGCCAAGCGATAGTTTTCTTTGATTTATCCTACTTTGGGATAGTTTGCTAAACTTCCTGAATTGTTTTTTTTTTTTTTGAGTTGGAGTCTAACTCCGTCGCCCAGACTGGAGTGCAGTGGCATGCTCCCGGCCACTGCAGCCTCGACCCACTGGGCTCCGGCAATCCTTCCGCCTCAGCCTACCGAGTAATTACAGGCGTGTACTACCATGCCCGGCTAATTTTTGATTTATTGTAGAGAGCAGGTCTTGCCAAGTTGCCCAAGTGGGTCTCGAACCCCTGGGCTCAGGCAATCCACTCACCTCGGCCTCCCAAAGTGCTGGGGGATTACAGGCTAAGCCACCGAGCCTGGCCTTCGAATTTGTTATTTGATAGTTTAAATCAAATATGTGGTTTTTGGCCATCCTTCAAATATTTTTCTATTCTATGCTGATTCTTTTCTAAGGATCATGTGATACTGTCCTATTGGTTCCTAAGTCTCTGTTCATTTATCTTTCAAATCTCTGCCTTCAGATGTATAGGTTTTATTAACCTATCTTAAGGTTGACTGTTCTGCTATCTCCCTTCTGCTGATAAACGTGTTGTAAATTTTTCATTTCAGTTGTGTTTTTCAGTCCTAGAATTTCCATTTGATTATTTTGTAATTTTTCTGTCATTTATAGTTTCTCTGCTGAAATTCCCTGTAGAGAGCTAGTTCTGGCCCCCCTTATTTGTCCCAAACTCAGATGCCCACCTGCCTGCTGGGTGGCTTCACTGGGATGTCTAGTTGTCATCTCAGATCTTAGTGTCAAATGGAAGTCCTGACTTTCCCTTTAGTCTTCCTTTTTCGGCCTTCCCTTTTGTGATTTCTCACAAGTGTCTCCTTTACCCAGTTACTCAAGCCAGAGGTGTAAACCTTACTCTGATGTCCTTTTCCTCTCTCACTCCATTCTCTTCCCTTGTCCTGCCTGCTACCAGGGGCTGGCAATGATCACAGCTGGAAGACGTACTCTTCCCTCCATTCCTGCCATCCCAGCCCGGGTCAGCCCTTGTCTCTTGTCTGAATGACTGGCGCTCCGGCTTCCTCTTCAGAATGATGTTGGGAAAGAGGACTCAGGGACTTCCTGTGCTCAGCCCCCATGGCTTCCCATGCTCTTGGGATAGAATCCAGATTCCTCACAGCTCACATGGTTCTATGTGGCTGGGCCCCTGTCTGCCTCACCAGCCTCATCTCCTTCCTTCTTCCATCTTGCTTCTTGGTCTCTAGCTTCTGTCTTCTCAGTACCCTTTCTGCCTGCTGGCTATTGTCCTTACTTTTCCTGCCTGCGGTTTCTCTCCCAGCTTGTGCGTGGCAGGCTTGCTCACCTCTGTCTAGGCTCTGCTTAGTTGGCCTCCCATCTGGAGTGGCCTCTCCCATGTTCCTCTCTTCTCCTTTTCTGTCTTAGCTTTTGTTGACTTTTTCTCCCCCATTTGATTGTAACATCCTCAACAGCAGAAACCTTGTATTGTTTAGTTCACTGTTGTGTTCTGAACACCCAGAACAGAGCCTGACACATAGGACTGCTTAATATTTGTTGAATGAGTAAGTGAATATTCCTAGCATCTGGCAAAGTGCTCGGTACAGTAGACATTCATGACTGAATTAGTGGCATCATTTTTCTTTTAATGTTAGGTTTCAAAATTCGGCCAGGCACAGTGGCTCATGCCTGTAATCCCAGTGCTTTGGGAGGCTAAGGTGAGAGGATTACCTGAGCCCACGGGTTTGAGACCAACCTGGGCAACTTGGTGAGACCTCATCTCTACAATAAATGAAAAAAATTAGCTGGGTGTGGTAGTGTGTGCCTGTAGTTCCAACTACTTGGAAGACTGAGGTGGAAAGATCGCCTGAATCCAGCAGGTAGAGGATGCGGTAGCTGTGAGTGTGCCAGTGTACTCCAACCTGGGTGACAGTGTGAGACTCCGACTCAAAACAAAGCAAACAAAAGACACCCAAATTTGGAATTATATTTTTACAGTTGATTTCAAAAGTAGAAATTAAACTTTTCACACAGTTATGCCTCTTTTTGCTTCAAACTCTTGAATGTGTTAGACAGTTTTATCATTTATACAAAACCTTTGCTTCATTCTGGCCTCTTTTCTCATTTTAATTGGCACCTGCATGAGCAGTACAGATTTCCTCAGAAGAGCAAAATAACATGGTGAATGATGAGCTATTTCTGAACCTAGTAAATGTTTTAGTAATGTTTGATGTATGTGTGTTATATGTAGTGATACTTAAATATTTTATTGAATCTCTGTTACTTGGCACTTGTTTTAGGTTGCAAAGGAATTTGGCTTCCAAAATAATGGCTTCTCAGTTTACATCAATAGAAACAAGACTGGAGAGATAACAGCATCCTCCAACAAATCTCTCAACTTGCTAAAAATCAAGTAAGTATCTGATGGAGAGAAAGCAGGGAATGGGGGGCAAAGACAACCCCTGTTACCTACCTGAGATTATGCAGTTTTATCCTATTTCCTCCTCATGCCACTCTTATTACGTACAGTCTTTCTAACTGACCAAAATACCAGTGATTATATTGCTTGCCAGGAATTCAGCAGTTATCCCAAATCTGCAGTTATGGTTGAGTATGTTTTATTGACTTCCACAAAGTGTCAATTTTGGAATGTGTGTCACTGAGAAGAGTTATAGCCTCGGGTCCATGTATGTAGTGGGGTAAGCTGCACATTCAGCTGCTTGTCTGAAGTGAAAGACTTTGAGCACAGCTCTGTGCAAGGAAATCACATCCACCCTCCTTGGAGAGGTCGGAGACTGGCAGTGTGATGGCCCATTGCCACTCTTTAGAGTTGATTAGTCATGTCTGTTGGGCTTCTAGGATGCAGAGACTTCTTACTACAACCCACTGCTATTTTTAAGTGATAATATTAATTAAATTAATTATTTAAAAATTTTTATTTTAAAGATATGAGGTACAATTCAGGATTAGGTACATAAGTGGTCATCCTACAGGTGAAGTTTGGGCTTCCCTTTGGTCCCCATTTCGCCTGGTTTGTGATCTGGTACTCTATTTTTTTGAGTTGAAGTCTCACTCCATCGCCCAGTCTAGAGTGCAGTGGCACACTCATGGCCACTGCAGCATCGATTTACTAGCCTCTGGTGATCTTTCAAGTAGTCAGACTATAGGTGTGTGCTACCACGCCTGGCTAATTTTTTATTTATTATAGAGACGTCTCGCCAAGTTACCCAGGCTGGTCTCAAACCTGTGGGCTCAGGCAGTCCACTCGCCTCAGCCTCCAAAGTGCTGGCATTACAGGCTGAGCCACAAAGCCTGACCTGGATCTGGTACTCTTATTAATGTTTTGTGTTCCTCCCCTTCTTCCCCTGGCAGTGATAAATGTTCCAGGTCTACTTATAAGTGAGTGAGAACATGGTACTCAGTTGTTTGTTTCTGTGATAGATCACTGAGTATGACAGACTCTAAATCCATCCAAGTTGCTGTAAAGTTCATAATGTTGTCCTTCTTTATGACTGTGTAATATTCCATTGTGTATATGTACTACTTTTTAAAATCGAGTCCATCTTTGATGGGCAGCACTGTTGGTTCCATGTTTTTGCTATTGTGAATGGCCCACTGCTGTTTTCGTACAGTATTATTGGGATACAGCCCAGGTATGTTGTCAATGGCTGTTTTCATGCTTCAAAGGCAGAGTTGAGTAATGGCAGACTGTGAGGCCTACAAAGGCGAGAATGTTGACTATTTGGCCCTTTATAGAACAAGTGTGCTGACTCCTGTCTATACTACCTGGGCACCCATTTATGTATTGGTGAGCCAAGTTCTTAGCCTCAGTTCAGTCCTTGGAGAGTGTGGGTGGTTAGCATTCCTCTTGGGGCGGCAGGCAGCATGTGCTGTGGCCGCTGGCTGGGCCCTGCTGGCAGCTGGCATGTGTCTGTTTACCAGCCAGAATAATAGACTGTTTTGGCAATTTGGTCCACAGATTAATGTATCTAGGGAAAAAAATATGTAGTTACAGCATTCACTTGTTTATTCTTCAGTAAAGATTTATTGGGCACCTACTATTTGTCTACTCCTGGAGTTAGATGAAGACTTTAATTGCTTATAATCATTTCCATAGTGGCCAAGGACCATCTTTCCTTCAAGGTTGTAAAGGACTTGGCATCTTGACAATCATTTCTTGTGAATGTCACGCGAGCTTAGATTCACATTCTGCCACTCACTGGCTGTGTTATTTGGGAAAATTACTCAGCAGCACTGGTCCTTGCATCCTTGTCTATGAAGGGGTAACAATGCCTCCTTCACATGATCGTGTAGTGCCTGTGTGCATGGTGAGCACTGGAAAAATGACAGCTATATTTTTAAAACTATTCTGCTAGGCAGATGCAAGAAAGGGAGGCTACAGAATGAAATACCTTTGAAACAAAACCATTAGAACTATAGTGTTATAATATTAGTATTACACCACAGATGCTGGAATAGTTAAACAGTCCCAGAGGTGACACTTAGAGTGTTATGTTTTTTAGAATTGTCCTAGAGTATATCTTTTTCATATAGTCCTAGTACTTATCAACGTGGATATAGATTATGAGAACTAAGTTCTATCACTTCTCAAGAATGACCTGAAACATGTCCTTATTTTGCACAATTTTTTTTTTTAGTTGGAGTCTCACTCTGTCGCCCAGGCTGGAGTGCTGTGGCACATTCCTGGCCACTCTAGCGTCGACCTACTGGGCTCCGGCAGTCATTCCGCCTCAGCCTTCCAAGTAACTGAAACTAAAGGTCCACGCTACCATGCCTGGCTAATTTTTTTTTTTTTTTTTTTTTTTTGAGTTGGAGTCTCACTCTGTCACCCAGACTGGAGTGAAGTGGCCGCTCCCGGCCACTGCAGCCTCGCCTGCTGGGCTCCGGCGATCCTTCCGCCTCAGCCTTCCAAGTAGCCGGAATTACAGGCGCATGCTACCACGCCCAGCTGATTTTTTGATTTATTGTAGAGATGAGGTCTCGCTGCCCAGGCGGGTCTCGAACCCGCGGGCTCAGGCAATCCACTCACCTCAGCCTCCCAAAGGCGCGGGATTACAGGCTGAGCCACCGAGCCCGGCTGCCTGGCTAATTTTTAAGAAATTTATTGTAGAGATGAGGTCTTGTCAAGTTGCCCGGGCTGGTCTTGAACCTGCAGGCTCAGGCAGTCCAATCTCCTCGGCCTCCCCAAGTGCTGGGATTACAGGCTGAGCCACCGACCCTGGCCTGCACATGTAAGAGTGATATTTACTTTCGACTGGGCTCAGTGGCTCAGCCTGTAACCCTAGCACTTTGGGAGGCTGAGGCAAGTAGATTGCCTGAGCCTGCGGGTTTGAGGCCAGCCTGGGCAATTTGGCGAGACCTCATCTCGACAATAAATAAAAAAATTAGCCAGGCATGGTGGTGCATGCCTGTAGTTCTGGCTACTTGGAAGTCTGAGGCAGAAGGATTGCCAGAGCCCAGTAAGTTGATGCTGGAATGGCCGTGAGTGTGCCACTGCACTCCAGCCTGGGCGAAAAGAGTGAGACTCCAACTTAAAAAACAAGAGTTACTTTCTTTGAGGTCTGTGGAGATCTTTTCCAGTTTCCCTGGTTCAGTTACCACTGTTCTGCAGTCTATTGTAATTCTAGTTGTTGTTCCTTTGTAGATGATACATTTTCTTCCCCTTTCTGGCTGCTTTTAAGATCTTCTGTTTGTCTTGGGGCCCTTTAGTTTGTTAGATTTTTTTCAGGTGTAGATTGGTAGTTTGTTTGTTTAATTCGACTTGAGGTAAATTCTGCTTTCTCTGTCTGCAGATTCTGAGCTGCAGATCTGCATATCACTTCTGGAAAATTCTTGGCTACTATTTCTTGAAATATTCTCTCTCTTTTTTTAATTATTTCAACAATTATATTTTTCACCAGGACCTGTCCTAAAGGGGCTGGAAAACTCATGGCTTTTTTCTCTTTTAAGTATTACTTCTCCCCTGTTCTCTTTATTATTTCAGTGATTGCATTTTTTACTTTTATTTATTTATTTAATTAATTATTTTCAAATCTGGTTATTGGCTTTGAGCACTCACAGGGACCATGTTCCTGGCTCCTCTCAGTTTTTGTTCTGCTCTCACACTGGCCCACAGGCCTCCATGAAGACTGCCAGTCTTTGGGGCTCCCCTTCTCTGACTCATCAGACATGCAAATCTGCCTCTTGGGTCTTATGGCTATTGGTGGTCTGTTTGCCCCTGCTTGTATCCCTATTCCTTGCAATGTTATCAGTTCTATCCTTGCAGCTTGGTATGCTGTCTAGCCTCTCCATATGCAGATCTGGGGACCCACTTTCAAGAACCCTACCTGATCATTTTGGATGGTCTTGACTCTATTCCATTGTTCATTTCACATTCCACACAGGAGTTTATGTTCTGTATCTCCTGATTCCGACATCTGAATCCTTGGCAGTCTAACTCTGTTGTTGTCTGTGCCAACTCTTACTTGTGGTGACTTGTTTCTTTTATTTGCTTGAGAGGTTATATTTGCCAGCGTTAGTCTTGGGGAACCCTGAAGGATCCAGCTGTAGCATCTCTACAGAGGTTTGCAGTTGCTTCTGTTGGCACAAGGGGGTGCTGTGGACCTATGACTCCTTTGACTTAATTTCTGTTTTTTGGACTTCCTGAACCAAGTGGCATCCCTAGTTCCACCACTAGATGAATGGCAGCGCAGGTTTCTGTTTAGAGTCTCAGTCGACTTTTTTTTTTTTTTTTAATGTAGTAGATAGAGGCTGACAGGATTTCTCTTTGGTTCCTATTTTTGACTGTTGGATTTTTCAGCTGGTGGATGTTTTGATGTCCTTCAGTCATCTGGTTTAATGTGGGAGTTTCGGCTCTTCAGCCAGTTCTAGGCAGGGAGGCTTGAGAGCTTATGTCCTGTTGCCCAGCAAACAACTGTAAGCTGAGTGAGTTCCTGCTAGTGGCCTAGACCCAGAGGTTGGCTCTGAGTCCCCTTACTGTTCTTGTCTGCGTGTACAGCTGGTTTTTTTGAACCCCTAGGGATTTCCTTTACTTTCTTTAGGCTTAGCAATCTATTTTAGATAATATTTGTTAAAATTGATCTAGTGTCTGAGCCAAGTTTTTTATAATTGGAGAGTGTTTAGGAATATCTAATCTGCTGCTAGAAACAGAAGTGTCTTGATCACAACTTGGCAATTTTATCACCTCTAAACTATGGAAGGAAAAAGAGGAGAGCACAGATCTATGGAAGAGTTACACCCACCCAAGCCTCTTGGTATCCATGTGTCCTCGAGTGCTTGCAACTTGTGGCCCCTGGTCTTCCTTCAGCTTGTTGGTATAGAGCTGTGGAGACTGTCTTCTCATTTTCTCTCCTGTGTGTGTCTTGTTGACAGCAATGAAATATTTATCAAATGGCGTTCTGTAGCCTCTCCTCCAAGGTTGTCATTGAAGTTTAGTGTTGGGAGCTGTTTCTGGTCATGTGAGTCCCCAGAAGGCTTCTGTGAATTGCTGGTGAGTGGAGATGCTGATTAGCTTCCGGTGCCAGCAGTTTGCCAAGCCAATCAGGCCCTGCTACAAGTCAGCAGTGTGAGTCTGATCAAGGGAAGAATACCATTTATGTTGAAAACGGAGAAAAACCAAGTAGTGCCATTAGAACTTTGACTTGTGGCAACCTTTTTGGGAAGCAGTATGTCAGCAACCTCAGAAACAAAAACTCTTCAGTCTGACAGGGCCATCTGTGGAAACTAGCCCTATAAAAGTAAAACCACATGGATGTCTGTGCGTGGGCTTTTGTGGGTGTTGTTGATGGTATCTGAAATCGGCAGCTAGCATGCATACCCCTTAGTGTGGGATGTTCCAGTGAAATGTGAGGCAGCCTCACTGTGCAGCCACTTTTGTAAAGTAGTGACAGTCCCCATATATGATATATGAGCGAAGAGAAGAAATGGAAAGATACACATTAGGTCAGTGAACTACGGGGAGAGGAGGAGCTGATTAGAGGCAAAGGAATGACAGAGTGGGAGCAGAAAGTGAGAAGCAGGAGGAGGGCCCTAAATACCCAGGAGATCCATTGGGGCTATATATTCATTCATGTGAAATCAGATGGGCATATGGATGTGTTTCACAGATTCTAAAATAAAATTGTAAGAGAAACTAAATTACAAAGAACCTACTGCTGATCTATATAATGCCAAGAAACACGGGAGAGATGTGAGAAAAGAATTCTGGCCTCTTAAACCTCATTACTTAGGCTTTTAGGAATGGTTGGCGTTTGCTTTTTATAGGTATCAAAATGCCCAAAGTTGGTCTTCTATGCAGCTCAGGTTGTAGCATAAAGAAAGGCATTGGCTTATATTTGTCATTTAAACAGGCATGGCGATTTGTTGTTCCTGTTTCCCTTGAGCCTTGCTGGGCCCTCATCTGAAATGGAGACATCGACTCCACTGGGGTTTAAGGCCTTGGGCACTCCCAATGTGGTGGAAGATGAGATCGATCAGTACCTCAGCAAACAGGATGGGAAGATTTACAGAAGCCGAGACCCACAGCTGTAAGTGTTCTATGGGAATCCATGGTCCTACATGTGGTAATGTTAATAGATGAACAAAGGGAACTATCTATAATATGCCTTGTTTTAGTAAGTATCTGATGAAGAAATGTAAGTTTTGAATTTATCTTTTCTGATTAAATTTCACTTCAGATTGTTTTGTTAGCTTTTTATCAGTTTGAATCTCAAAATATATTCCATATATCTAAAAGTTTGGAAGGATTTGGATACTAAGAGATTTGAAAGATATCCACAGGGAGATAGGGCCTTATGCCAAGTCTTTACTATGATGTCCCCTGGAGATGCTGATCCCTGTGGCCGATTGGGACTTTGGACAGTGATGGCAGGGAAGGGGAAGAGTGAATAGGATTATTAACTGGGTGTCTGCCAGCACGAGGTGCTTGTTCTGTCCTCTCATTTGATAACAGAATTATTTTGACATTATACACTAGTATATTCTTTGCATGCCCTTAGTGAGCATTTCACTTGGAGAAGATGCAGGTCCTTTGAATATTTACGTCCCACCTAGGGCTATACAGACATTTGTTTATGTGCACACTTGTTTTAGAGTTTTTACAGTTCTTTCTAAAGAAACCTGTTAGAAACATCTGAGTTTACACTCAGTGATGTGAACCTATCTGAGCAAAGGTTGTTTGTCTCTGCAGTGGCATCTTTTTTTAAAATGCATCACTCTGTAAATGTGATGAGGTGCTGACATTGAGATATTGGGATTCCAAATGCTGCTGCATTAGCAACTTTTATGTCTTAGATTAAAGAGCCACAAATGGTGCTCAGCTGCAGTTGGCATAGAGCCACATCGTAGCCATAGCCATTAGCCAGCCCGCCTCTTCCATTTGTGTTTCCTCCCAGGAACCCAGTGTAGTTTGCTCACATGATCTGCGTCTTCACTGCTTCATTAAGTGGTCTTTTAGAGCGTGTGCGTGTGTGTGTGCGGGTATGTGTGTGTGTGTGTGTGTGTATAAAAGTGTATAAGTTTGTAAATTCTGGCTTGTCATCAGTTAGAGCCTGCCTATTGGGAGAGAGGCTATCTCTATTCCAAAATATGGAACATACATGCATCAAAGAATTCTGACCTGATTTAGAAAGGGATCTGACTGAGCCCTGGAGGGACTACAGCTTGGCTTTCCCACCAGCCCCCTACCACTGCCCTCTATACCAAGCACATCTCTCCTTTATACTCTGCATGTTGAGCTGCCAAGGTTTTGTGACTGAAAATGCCTAAAACCCATGGATTTAAAAACATATCATTTGTGTTTTTTCCAAAATGCACATGAAGTAGGTGTTTTCCAAACTTGGGTTATTTTTATACCACTCTGAGGGTTTATTTAACAGTTATTTTTATTTTTTATATATTTTTATTTTTATTTTTTTTGAGTTGGGGTCTCACTCTGTTGTCCAGACTGGAGTGCAGTGGCCGCTCCCGGCCACCGCAGCCTCGACCTGCTGGGCTCCGGCAATCCTTCCGCCTCAGCCTTGCAAGTAGTCAGAATTAC